TTGTGAAAAATAAGCCACTATAAGAAATATAGTAGTAGTGTTGAAGACCCATTGATGGCCTTGGGCTGTTTTCTGCGCTTTGTTGTCACTTTGACACATTCCCCTTTTCCATTCTCAATTCCACTATAACAAAAATGTATATTAAAACTTATTTTTGGAAAAAACCATCCAGTTTCAAAATTGTACAATATCCTGCTGAAAAGATCCGTAAATGTTGACTGTATAGTGTATATTCTCTGCCATTGTGATTTCATATTGTTTGTGCATTAATTAATGGCTGGACACTGATGCTATATATTGTGCTGTGAATATTTGTTAAATGTGCATATTCTATGAGCTGTATTGTTTAGGAATAAAGATATCATTATTAATCATGACATTCTTTTAAGGAAAATAAATTCAAGCACTAAAACATACAAATGAACTACCATTAACATGATAATTATATCTTGACAATTGAATTTATATATTTGCAATTTCATTTCAAATAAACAAGATCAATTTTATTATTCATAATAATGTTACAAAGTACTAAAAGTGATTAAATATTTAAAAGATGGCTGTAATATTTTAAGCTTTGTATGTAATGTTACATGTTAAAATTTTCCACAAAATGTATTTTATTTACAAATGGATCACAAAGTTACTCTCTCAAAAGGTTTGCAATAAATTAAATTTATATGTGCAAGTCACAAATATTTCTTTGATATCTTAACTATGTATATATAATTCTTTCAAACATAAATATATTCAGAATGGGACTTTGAGATGTTTGTTGTATAAATACATTACTAAGTTCAATTTTATTGGATATTTAAAACTGTTCAAGAGTAAATAAAAAACAGAAAATAAGTTCAGATGAAACTCATTCAAATTTATACATCCATATATAAAGTCATAGCAACAATTCATTCTAGAATTATTACCATTTCTAAATCTTTATTGACTCCATTCAGTTATGTGTATTTAGTATAGAAATCATAGTAAATGTTCTTTTCTATATCGATGTATGAACTTGAATGCACACCTTTGTTCCCCCATAATAAAAACACAAAGGTGAAAGGATTCATATATTATATGTCCAAAATCAATTGACGATAGGCTATATAAGAAATCTTACACTTTTATAGGCATATATAATGCTCTATGATGTCATATGAATTACTTCTGTTTGATTTGTCTCAACATGAAAACATTGAAACCATTCATCTTTAACATTTAACAAAGTTTTTTCTTCATTTCAAGTACTTTGAAATATTCAGATGTTTTAAAAATTTTCAGTATAACTTTGATTAAACATCAAAGAGACAATCTATAACTGAGAATTTAATTTTACAGAGGTTCACCAACAGCTACAATGTACCTTAATGGGTTCCATGAAGTTATGCTTTTCATTTGTAAATATTTTAACCACATTCTTTTTTCAGTTGCAAGATGTCTACTTAACTAAGTTATATAGCTTTAAATGAAAAATGCTTTTGTGTACGTGAGACAATCCTTGTAATTTTAAAATTAAAGCTTTTATCAGATCTTTTTATTTTAAAAAAAGTTAAATAAACTTTGGGCTAAGTCAGCAAGTCTTTTGGTGACTGGTCATCTCCATATTCAAAACAAGATGTGGTATAAAACTGGACATCAATCGTAATCCCATAAGATAAGATAACTAGATGGGATATTCTATTTACTGTGGAGATGACCATAAATATTGCAGGCACTTCAAATTAGATATATATAATCATTATTTTATTTTCAAACCATCAAATCAATTATGGAGTTAAATATAGCATGAATATAGGAATTACCTGTGAATCATTCTTAGAATTTATGAGACAGACCATAAATGATTTAATCATAATTGTGAACATAACAAAACTGTAATAAAAATAAATATAAACCCCTAATGTATAAAAACGTTTTTATTCAATACTTCTCTGAATTTCCTTTTACATACTTTTAAGTTTTAAACTTAAGGTTCCTACACAATAAAGTAAATTGATTTTCAAGCACTATGGACTGCCTTCATCTTGCTACAAGACATGTGCCATCTAAATCAGACATGTGTCTATAATATGAACCACTGGACATTTGAGTTTAATATCCAACTCTTGCTGGAAAACCTGTCTACTACACAATCATACATTACACATGTACTATAACCTGATCACTGGTTCATATTTCACAAATTCTAACACCTTAATATCTCAGCTCCATAGCTTTTCATTCCTTGTGATGTTTTATGGTAATGATCATTATAACAAAAAAATCAGTGCAGGACGAATGATATACATGTATCCTTGAATCTGTTCAAAGTTTTGATTTTTCTACCCTATATACCACATTGCCTCACATTCTCATTAAGAAAAAATTCACACACCTAATTAAATGGGCATTTAAAAAGTCAGAATGTGAATATATATGTTCAAACTCTTTTAGGTCATTTTTTAGTAGCAATAAACAAAAAAACTATGTCAATTGGACATGCTTTGATACTATATATGCCCTTGAATTTTTACTAGATAACATTTTTGTTCGCTTTGGAGATTCCGTATATCGTCAGGTTATCGGAATTCCAATGGGGACTAACTGTGCACCACTTATTGCGGACCTTTTTTTGTATTGCTATGAGTTACAATTTATGACAAAAATCAGTAAAGACCCATCGAAACAACATCTGATACACAAATTTAATAATACTTTTAGATATTTGGATGATATTTTGGCTCTCAATAATGACGACTTCAGTATGTATACTAAAGAAATTTATCCTGTTGAACTTACTTTAAATAAAGCTAATACTAACAATGACCACTGCCCTTTCCTCGATCTTGATATCTATATCATTAACGGAAAGCTTAATACTAAAATATATGATAAAAGAGATGATTTTTCATTTCCTATCGTTAATTATCCATTTTTAGATGGTGACGTTCCCTTGTCACCATCTTACGGTGTTTATATATCTCAACTTGTACGATTCGCTCGTGTATGTAACAATGTTTTAGATTTTAACGAGAGAAATGTATGTATTACTGAAAAATTATTACACCAGGGTTTTCGATATCACAAACTAGTCAAAACATTTACTAAATTTTATCATCGGTATAAGGACATCATTCGTAAATATAGCTCAACATGCAGACTTCTTATACGTTCAGGTATTTCACATCCAATTTTTTATGGAAATATTCTTTATAAAGCACAAAAATGTCAGTATTCACCTCTGAAACTAACAAAACCTTTAAATAGACTTATTAAGAAGGGATATAGTTACGATACTGTTGTCAGGTCATTAAAGATTGCATATTTTGGCGTTGATATTGATTCACTTATAGGGTCTTTGCATCTGCACTAAACACATTTATTTAAAAACCAGTTGTTGGCATGACACGGGTTATGTTCTTCTCATATATGTTATGATGGTATGATACTAAACCCCTAACGGGAAGGATTGTGCCTGATATTCATATGATGAAGACATAATCTTTCAATCAGTTTAATTGAAGTCTGGAGCTGGCATGTCAGTTAACTGCTAGTAGTCTGTTGTTATTTATGTATTATTGTCATTTTGTTTATTTTCTTTGGTTACATCTTCTGACATCAGACTCGGACTTCTCTTGAACTGAATTTTAATGTGCGTATTGTTATGCGTTTACTTTTCTACATTGGCTAGAGGTATAGGGGGAGGGTTGAGATCTCATAAACATGTTTAACCCCGCCGCATTTTTGCGCCTGTCCCAAGTCAGGAGCCTCTAGCCTTTGTTAGTCTTGTATTATTTTTAATTTTAGTTTCTTGTGTACAATTTGGAGTTTAGTATGGCGTTCATTATCACTGAACTAGTATATATATTTGTTTAGGGGCCAGCTGAAGGACGCCTCCGGGTGCGGGAATTTCTCGCTGCATTGAAGACCTGTTGGTGGCCTTCTGCTGTTGTCTGTTCTGTGGTCGGGTTGTTGTCTCTTTGACACATTCCCCATTTCCATTCTCAATTTTATCCTTGACTGAAACCAATTAGAGGACTCAAAATTTTTCGATATCAGTTTTTTTTATTTCAGTTACCATGGTTACCCCTGTTGATTTTTTCTGATTCAAACACTTAAAATCATTCTATCAATTTCTATTTTGGCAAACAAACAAAATCTCACAACCATAGAAGCCTTTAAAGCTTGCATGTCTAAGTGGTTTCATTTCACAACACCATTGACCATACACTAGCACTGGATTCTAGTTAGTCCAGATTGAGGATTTTCACATTTATGCAATTTTCTTGTACATTTACAATGTCAAAATGTTAATGATATTACTCAACAGCATGATTTGATTGTTTAATGATGCATTTACCATGGTTGACCTAGCTAAGGTCAAAGAGTATAATTCATTTGTAAATAAAAACTTGAAATTAATCTACAATCATAAATGTCTGCCAAAGGTTTTTTTTTATAGATCCCTCAATGATGCATGAATAAAGCAGGAAGGCGTCAAATCAAAAATCAAAATCGCCTTCCACAAAGTCAATATTATTTGGACAAGATACCGCTTAACATACACTGTTCAAATTTGGCATTCGTTTAGTCCAAATAGTTATCGTCAAAGGCTATTTTTACTTTTTGCTGTGGAACATAGAAAATAATTATGAGGTCTTGAAAGTTTTTTTTAACTCTTTGCTGTGACGCGTAGGTAGGCGTTACAGCAAAAGTTAAAATAGCCTTTCAAGAAATCATAACTTCTTGAACTAGCATCGTTTCTTCAGTTCAACTGTACGGGAGAACACAAACCACAATACCTACAGCTAAAGTAGTAAAACTGTACTCGTGTAGGTTAATTTCACTTAAACAGAGCTCAAAAACCATAAATATATTTTTCAAAAATGTTTATGAAAGATTTTGGGCTATCTAATCCAAATCAAAATGTTTTTTGTGAAGACTGGAACAATATTTACAATTTTTTTCCCAACGACAACGTGTCATCCTTGGAATGATTATGAAATCTTCAAGTAACTTACCTCTATTTGAAAGAATATTGTCAAAGTGTTGAAATCTACGAATTAAAATGACTATAGTACTACAACATCATGTCATCTTTCTTACTTTCAAACGCCAAAAGATTGCTACTACTACTGCGCGCGCAGCTTTCGTTTTTGTTGTAACCGCGGAGACGTTGACATTTCCGCTGAAAACAAATACACGTGTTTGGTCAAAGGGAGACAAATCCATTCGACAGCAAAATAATATTTGATGTGGATCCGGAGTTATCCTCCTTTGTATACAGTATGGAATGACCCCAAGAACAACCATTGTTTGTTATATGTATTAATAAATCATAATTATATTGTATTGTCTGTAACTTGATTGATATGCTTGTAATGAGCCCTATGATTAGGAAAATAAAATATGGTTTACAGAATAGAAAATAATTGGCCAATACAAAAGAAAAATGGAACAACTAATAAACAATAGAGAAAAATGGGCATAAAAAAAAGAATAGAGAATAATGGGGTGCTTAAATATATAAGATAGAGGTTAATGGGATGCTTAAATATATAAGATAGAGAATAATGGGCAAAAAATGTGTAGAACCTCATTTTAGTGTTTGTGAAAATAAGATACGTTTTATAATTACATTTTTAATATTTCTGCCCTTCATATGTCTGATATAAAATATCTTCCTTTTACATAGTATAAAAAGTGAACTGAAGTGGGACATAATATATTGACATTTCAGTATATTATTCCAAGATCTTAAAATGCCAGGACTTTCATTTTTTTGGCCAAAATTTTGTTCGCATTTAAGAAAATGTAAAAATTTCAATTTTATCTACTGATGCTTACAATTCTTTCTTTCAATTTTCCATTCCCTTCTTAGAATATAAATAAAATGCTTCGCTGGGGCGCAGCTTGATACGACCGCAGAGGTCGAACCCTGAACAGTTGGGGCAAGTATGGACACAACATTCAAGCTTGATACAGCTCTGAATTTGGATTGTTATTAAATATTTGACACAGCATAGGTTTCTGACACAGAAAGAATGTGGTCTAAGAACTTGAATTTTTTTAATTTACCTATTATGGTCCAATGTCCAAAATCAAAATACATGGTTAGATTCAGCATATCAAAGAACCCCATATATTCAATTTTTGTTAAAATCAAACAAAGTTTAATTTTGGACCCCAACTTGGACAAACTTGAAAACTGGGCCCATAATCAAAAATCTAAACACATGTTTAGATTCAGCATATCAAAGAACCCCAAGAATTCAATTTTTGCTAAAATCAAACTAAGTTTAATTTTGGACCCTTTGGACCTTAATGTAGACCAATTTAAAAAACGGGACTTAAAATTAAAAATCTAAATACACGGTTAGATTTGGAATATCAAAAAACCCCAATAATTCAATTTTTGATGAAATCAAACAAAGTTTAATTTTGGACCCTTTTGACCTCAATATGAACCAATTTGATAGCGGGGCCCACAAATAAAAAATCTAAGTTCATGGTTAGATTCAGCATATCAAAGAACCCCATATATTCAATTTTTGTTGAAATCAAAAAAAGTATAATTTTGGACCCCAACTTGGACCAACTTGAAAACTGGGCCCATAATCAAAAATCTAAACACATGTTTAGATTCAGCATATCAAAGAACCCCAAGAATTCAATTTTTGTTAAAATCAAACTAAGTTTAATTTTGGACCCTTTGGACCTCAATGAAGACCAATTTAAAAAACGGGACCCAAATTAAAAATCTAAAAACACGGTTAGATTTGGCATATCAAAGAACCCCAATAATTCAATTTTCGATGAAATCAAACAAAGTTTAATTTTGGACCCTTTTGACCTCAATATGAACCAATTTGATAGCGGGGCCTACAAATAAAAAATCTAAATACATGGTTAGATTCAGCATATCAAAGAACCTCATATATTCAATTTTTGTTGAAATCAAACAAAGTTTAATTTTGGACCCCAATTTGGACCAACTTGAAAACTGGGCCCATAATCAAAAATCTAAATACATGTTTAGATTCAGCATATCAAAGAACCCCATATATTCAATTTTTGTTGAAATCAAACAAAGTTTAAATACTGGACCCTATCTTGGACCAACTTGAAAACTGGGCCCATAATCAAAAATCTAAACACATGTTTAGATTCAGCAAATCAAAGAACCCCAAGAATTCAATTTTTGTTAAAATCAAACTAAGTTTAATTTGGACCCTTTGGACCTCAATGTAGACCAATTTAAAAAACAGGACCCAAAATTAAAAACCTAAATACACGGTTAGATTTGGAATATCAAAGAACCCCAATAATTCAATTTTAGATGAAATCAAACAAAGTTTAATTTTGGACCCTTTCGACCTCAATATGAACCAATTAGATAACGGGGTCCACAAATAAAAAATCTAAATACATGGTTAGATTCAGCATATCAAAGAACCCCATATATTCAATTTTTGTTGAAATCAAACAAAGTTTAATTTTGGACCCCAATTTGGACCAACTTGAAAACTGGGCCAAAAATCAAAAATCTAAATACATGTTTAGATTCAGCATATCAAAGAATCTCATATATTCAATTTTTGCTAAAATCAAACAAAGTTTAATTTTGGACCCTTTGGACATTAATGTAGACCAATTTGAAAACTGGACCCAAAATTAAAAATCTAAATACACTGTTAGATTCGGCATAACAAATAAATAAATGTGATCAAAGATTTTACAAATCTAATGCGCCATACTGTGCAATTAAAGATTACTTCTTGAAATTTTTCAATATTTGAAATTTGAAAAAAAAATAATATTTGAAGAATAATTCTTTTTAATTTCTGAAATCTGAAATGAGAAAAAATTGGCCCCCCACAATTTCTTTTTATCCCCCCCCCCCCCCCTTTTTCCCCCAAAAAAATTCTTTCCCTCAAGATATGGTCATAATCTCAATTCAAATTTCCAATGGAGTTGGCAACCATAATTACCCATTTAAATTTACCATAGTGCTAACTTAATCTATTTTATAATAGAATTAATAAAAATATAGTGTCAAATCTTTCATATGGATTTTTTTGTAAAAAAAAAAGATGAAAACATTTGCAGATATTTTTACTGGTCTTCCTTTATAAATATGCATTTCTTTAAACATAATTTAAAAGCAGTGTAAGGGAAGTAACCAAAACGTTGTATTTGGATTACCTCCCTTACACTGTTTTAGATTATCTTTATTGTTCATTAACCATTACTTTACACAAAATTTAAAAGCAGTGTAAGGGAGATAATTTCAATGATGTATTTGATTTATCTCCCTTACACTGCTTTAAATTATGTTTTGTACTAAAGTATTTGTCCATTAACCAGGACAACCTTGTTTTTCCCCCTTTTTTGCCCCTAATTCCTAAACGGTTTGAGCCATAACCCCCCAAAGCAAATCCTAACCATCCCTTTGTGGTATGGAAACTTGTAGTATAATTTCAGAGAGATCCATACACCGTTCCACAGTTATTGTCTGGAAACTAGAAAATGCTCATTTTTGGCCCCTTTTTGGCCCCTAATTCCTTAACTGTTGGTACCATAACCCCCAAAATCAATCCCAACCTTCCTTTTGTGGTATTTAACCTTATGGTCAAATTTCAAAAAGATCCATTCACTTAAACTAAAGTTAGAGTGCGAAAACCAATATGTATTCGGACGACGACGCCGGACGACGACGACGACGGACGACGACGACGACGACGACGCCAACGTCATACCAATATACGACCACAAAATTTTTTTGCGGTCGTATAAAAAGGTGAAAACAGCATGTGCATACAATACTATGTCTGGAATTGTACCTGCCATCTCAAATATCTTGGTGAGGTCTATTAAATAATGACTGTGTGTTAAATACATATCTGTATCTATATAGAACTGGAAATGAACTAAGTATTTAGCAAGTTCATCCATGTGTGCATAAATATTCTTATTGTTTATTTCATTTTTATAGATATGTTGCATCAGCATCAAGCATTTATGATTGATACCAGGCAGTAATGCTTAAATCAGGGCTCTGTTTGGATTTTTAAAAAAGTCATCTGTGTAATTATTTGTTATTAACAGATGATTAACCATATTACAATTCAGTTATTTTTTGTAGGAAGGATTGCTCTCCAATTTAATCAGACACATTTATTTGTTTATCTCTTGAAGACAGATCTTTAAAGAGGCTGTGTAATTTACTCATAACATATGAAGACTTGAGGCTATTAGAGCTTGACATGCTGTTTGACATATCTTTTGTTGAAAACAATATCTTGACCTTGTGATTGTTGTTTTTTTCTGGTTTAGGGTTTGCTGTTTGATTGGACTGAGCTATCAACTGTATGTTGATTATTAACCATTCTCAACCAGGCAGATCATGGTTGCAGCTTACTTCATTTCAGTCTGGACAGTATAGTTTTTATCTTTAATCTGTTTTTATTCCAATAATTTTCCTGTTTATCAATTTGAAGATTTGAATTTAACCAAGTTTTTTTCGATTTTATTCTTGTGCATATAAATTTGTTTTGTTCTCATTAATCAAGAAGTTTTCTTTTATCTTTTTAAGCAGAGTAACTTTCTTTTGCAAAGATCTTTACATATTTATAGAATGTCAAATTTAATTTCTTACTGATTAAGGAATATATCAAATGACTTCCAAAACAATAACCTATATTTTTACATTCATAATATGCATATAAGTAGATTTGATGGCATTGTTAGTGCCTGAACATTTGAGTAATTATATCTACATACAGAGGAAATCGCCTGAGCTCTGACCTTTGTTTGATATTTTGAAACCCCAGGTATATATTTACCAAAAGGTCATTTAATACCTACCAAATATAACTGCTGAGAAATGAACATTCAGTATAACAAGAATACCTACCAAATATAACTGCTGAAAAATGAACATTCAGTATAACAAGTTAATTGTCCTTTGCAAAGATTTGAGCCACCAAAATTTAACAAAAACCCCAATGGTGCCACATTCAAAACTTATTTCCCAAACCAAACCCCACCTGTAATTAGATCAAATCCAAACTAAGTTTATAAGGGGTCTAAAATTATTGAATGCTAAATTTCTTGAAACTGTTTCCTTTCTGCTAAAGAGTCTGAAAGCAAAGCAAAAACTTGTTTTCTTATAACAACGTAAGTCCCATGGGCATAGTGTAGGTGAAAAATAATGGCATGTAAAACCATATAAACTTAAATATGACATGTAAATTATCTAATATAACTGTTTAAATAAATTATCTCATACAACTGTTTAAAAGTACCGAAGTACTGAACATCGGATGACCGCAAGTTCATGTGGATGGTCAAAAGCACTTGTCACAGAAAAAAATCACATCTCTATACCTGAAACTGAGATTAATGTACAGAGATATATTTTTTTCTGAGACAAGTTCGTGCGTGGATGATGAATAAATGACATGAAATTCAACCTCACCGTAATAACCTTTAAATTGTAGTGATACAAATCAGTATACACTGGTTTGTTGTTATATATTATATTAATATAACAGTTACATGTATATATAATTTTCATCCATTTGTATATCATTCTATTCTACTATTCTAATAATAGTGCAGTGCAAGTGCATGGTGGACACTCTTCTGTAAAATTCAATTTTTCTAAAAGATTGGATATGAGTAGGCATTCATATTTTCCCGCAAAAACAATTACAGAGTTACCGGTCCTTGACGGGATTGTCGCAAAATGTTCTTGAGATATTCATCCGCATGCTTTAACACAATTTTTTGGTACATGTGCATAGATATTTTCAATGATTTTTTACTTATATATATATATATATATATCTAACGACAAAACATTTTCATATTATTAATTTATGTTCTAAACAAAAATATTTTTATCAGTATTCATTGAAGAGATGTATTTATAACAAACGATAAGGAATGTTAGTTTGCACTCTGTAATATCCGCGTATTTATCATGTTTATAGATCGGTTACAAACCCAAAACGAAAGTTACGTAATGGAAATCTAGGCGATAGCAATACATCAGAATGCCCTCACGGTCATCGCGATGTAAAAAGAGACTGACAATACCAAGGGACTCTAGGGTCCAGAAATGGTCATATTTGCCAGTCATGACCTAAACTGAAAGCTATTTGTCCTAAAATGAAATATTGGGATTTAGGACAAATTTAATTTTTTTACAGAAATAATTTCGGTCATTTCATCGAGATCGGGTTTCTTATTCGCCATTTTGCACTTCTTTTTGTTTTGTAATCCTTTTCCTAATAATTTTGTAATAAAACTGCCACTCCAGTATAGTATGATAATCCTGAGGACCCTCCTAATAACTATATTAATGCCTCTGGGAAATATTGGCTAATGATCAATAAATATTTTTTACCTGTGTTTTTAATTCACACCTGACATTAATCACAAGATCAGAACTATTATCATAAAGAGATTAAAATTCCATGACAACTGTCTTCATTAATTAATTACTATTCAGCAAAGAAAGTCGTCAATTCTGATCTAAAAAATAAAACTTAATTTAATTTACGAAGAACGGGTACTTTAAAAACTCATAAGTCGAAGCAAAACTGACAAAGCTATGTCAAAAAATTGAAAAAGACAAGCCAGTCCTCAAATCAAAGCACTGTAAGCGCTGTAGGCAGTTAACCAAAAACCAAGGTAAACGTAATTATGAAAACTGTGGCAGTGTTGCTTTCATTTTTTTTAAGATTTGAAAGAACAAACATTAAACATTCATATATTGTACATTTATGTTCATTAAATGAATTGATTATTAAGGCAAATTAATTAATATTTCATCAAGGTTTTCAAAAGCAACTCATATATCAATGTAAATGACCCCCATCTTCAGCCCCAAGTGCATGATGTTACTCCATACTAAGTTTGGAATAAAATGACAGGTGATTATAAAACAGTTGGTCAAACATTTTCGGGCTTTACACTGCTTGAAAGATTTATATGTTTTCTTTAAAATGAGCCATAAATGAAAATTATTATAGGCCCAGAAATAATTTAATAAATAATTAAAGTAAATTCAATTAACCTAGACTCATTTTTTGCATCAATAAAATTCTATAATAAACAAGAAATGATTGTAACAGGATGCCGTAACGAAGTCTCCCAAACAAAGCCCCCATAATTCATCATTGCCATGGTCTCCTGACATTGGGCAAAGTCCAGTTCATATTGGTTTGGTCTAGTAAAGTGATATGCATATTTGACACCTAGGCGATTGACCCTGTATTTCATTCAAATCTTTTTGAAATGATGAACAGGAATAAATATGGTTTAGGTGCGTGTATCTCGACCGTTTACAAGTTCTCAAACAGGAGGGGGTGGGGTGACCCCAGGGACTCCCCCTATATTTCATTTGATTTGTTATATTGTCCCATACATGAATACATATGGTTAAGGGGTGGGGATCTCAACCATTTCCAAGTTCTCAAACAGGAGGGAGTGGGGTGACCCCTGGGACTCCCCGAATATTTCATTTGATTTGTTAAATTGTCCCATACATGAATATATATGGTTTAGAGGTGGGGATCTTTACTGTTTACAAGTTCTCAAACAAGAGGGGGTGGGGTGTCCCCATGGACTCCCCCTATATTTCATTTGATTTGTTTTATTGTCCCATATATGAATATATTATATGGTTTATGGGTGGGGATTTCGACCATTTCCAAGTTCTCAAACAGGAGGGGGTGGGGTGACCCCAGGGACTCCCCAAATATTTCATTTGATTTGTTAAATTGTCCCATACATGAATATATATGGTTTAGGGGTGGGGATCTTTACTGTTTACAAGTTCTCAAACAAGAGGGGGTGGGGTGTCCCCATGGACTCCCCCTATATTTCATTTGATTAGTTTTATTGTCCCATACATGAATATATATATATATGGTTTATGGGTGGGGATCTCAACCATTTCCAAGTTCTCAAACAGGAGGGGGTGGGGTGACCCGAGGAACTCCCCATATATTTCATTTGATTTGTTATATTGTCCCATACATGAATATATATGGTTTAGGGGATGGGATCTTGACTGTTTACAAGTTCTCAAACAGGAGGGGGTGGGGTGTCCCCAGAGACTCCCCCTATATTTCATTTGATTTGTTTTATTGTCCCATACATGAATGTATATGGTTTAGGGGTGGTGATCTCAACCATTTCCAAGTTCTCAAACAGGAGGGGTTGGGGTGACACCGGGGACTCTCCCAAATTATTTTCATTTGATTTCTTTTATTGTCCCATACAAGTATATATATTGATTAGGGATGGGGATCGCGACGGTTTATAAGATAAAAGTACATTTTCAAATTGAAGGGGGTTGGGATGACCCCCAGGGACTCACCCTATATTTTGGTTGATTTTTTTATTGTCCTGTTCTCATTACTGAAGACTGCATGTGTCTATCACTTACTGTTATTGAGAAATAGTCATTTGAAAATTTTAAAAAATAAAATCCCATAGAGTTCTTTAGTTAACCCCTCCCTTCTTCAGGCCCCTCCAAAAACCCCTAAATAGACCCAAATGCACAAACGAAAGATTAATGGCTTCGCTAGACATGTTAGTCTAATATTTTATGAAACCCTAAGTAAATCTGACAAACAGTCAAAGTTGTCTTCTTAGACGGTTTGAGTGGAATCGGTCCGACTTGTCTCGGGGACGAGTTAACCACATTACTTAAAACATCCCATCAACGTAGATTTTCGCATCTGTTTCATGACCTCGTTTCATTCATAAAATAACAACAACCTTATTTGGCAAGATAAGTTAAAAATTACCACCCACTTATATAGCTTTATTTCCTCTATCATAGAGATTTGTTGTACATGAACAATATTCCTGCGAATTTTGCCATTTGGGAAATATAAACGACTTGTAATTACCCATTTTCGGCGATGAAATATTTCATACAATTGTTCTTTGACATCGTAGCCAAAAGCACAGGGGATAATAAACTACCAACGATTTCTATTGAGCACTACTTCCTATGTGCAACTTCAAAAGTTTTGGGTAGTTCGACGATCATTTCAGGTTTTTCTGGTCATATTTTTTGTATTCCAGAAATAAAAGTATTAAAAAAATGTCCAATTAGTTATAAATGACATAAAAGCCAGCTAGATAATAACAATGGCACATATTTCAGCATTTATTGGGTAGAACACAAATCTAGGGTGCTCGCATAAGGCAGCTTAACTGCCTAAAAACCAATACCCCCAAAAATAATTGAAAGATGAGCAGAAAACTTTATAAATTTTTTTTTAAATTTCACCATTTGTTTGTCCTATTTTTTAGTTATTAGGTCATGTTGATTGATGGGTGAGAACATCAGGCATAATTCTGACATTACATTTCCTTACTAATTGTAATTGTGTTGATGTCTGGTTTCAATTGGTCAACTGGTTTCAGAGGGGAAGATTTTTTTTCTGATGATGATGACACCAAAGATTGATGGACAACAGACATCAAGTGATAGAAATAGGCATTGCTAGTATATGGTGAGGGTCTTTAAACAGAAATATTTTGCTCATGATCAAAATGAACATACACATATGCAGATGCTAATATGTTTCTTTATTCATAATTCAATATGCTTAATTAGTCCTGGCCATGATAATGGTGGCTTTTCCTCAATCCCACATGTCAAATTGTGTTGCTGATAAAATTATTGTCCTTTACAAAGGCAAAGCAATATTGAAAAAAAATGATAAACATGCAGTTGTCTCATTGGCAAACAAATCACATCTCCTTATTTTTATATGTATTATCTCGAAAGGAATGAATTTATCCAAATGAGATGTCATTTGTTTGTATGGATGAACAAAGGGTAAACAATATTCCTAAATACATTGGTATAAAGCTATTGGGTCTTAAATTAATATGAGTTCTACAAGATATTTATTTATAAAATGTTTTATTACATACAACATAAAAACAAACAGATGAATCTTTGATGATTTTACTGTCATAATGAAACTGATGAATTCTGATAAAGTTTGAGTCTGTTTGTTTGCTCATTACAACGACTCTGTAAAAAGAATTGCTTTTCTAAAATTTAAAAGTTTACAATGGTAAATTGTATTTGTATTTTTTCCTGTATGTGCACATGATTAAAATCTTTCTTCATGTCTAATCTGTATTCATCTCTCCTGGATCAATATTCTTATTGTCATTATCACTACACATCCTTCTTTAAATTGGTTTGATTTTGAAATGGAGACCAATTAGTGAGAATACTAAACATTTAAGATCTTGAACTAAGTAGTAGAATGTCCTCAGTCCTTCTGGATCTCTGAAAAAATAAATATTACAAATTTAAATTAACAATATAGTAATCTACTGATTACACACTCCCTCCTCCTCCCATTACCTTTCGTCATGTATTGATTATATAGTGTTTGTTTATCTTTGTATTAAGTGTGAAAATTTAATATACTTCCAGTTCTTGGGGTACATAGGTTTTTAACCGGATTTTTGTGTCAAAAATGTCGGTTATTGATTTGGGGATGTACGGCGGGCGGTCGGTCGGCCAGTAACCAAATGTTGTCCGTGCATTTACTCATGAACCATTCAACCAAACCTTTTAAAATTTTAATATGTTGTTACTGACAACAAAATGGAGGTCAAGTTTAAAAATGACGATTTTGACTTTTACCGTTCAGGAGTTACGGTTCTTGAAAGTTTAAAAAATGTCGTGTCCGTGCATTTACTCATGAACCGTTCAACCAAACCTTTTTAAATTTTAATATGTTGTTACTGACAACAAAATGGAGGTCAAGTTCAATAATGACGATTTTGACTTTTACCGTTCAGGAGTTACGGGCCTTGAAAGTTTAAAAAATGTCGTGTCCGTGCATTTACTCATGAACTGTTCAACCAAACCTTTTTAAATTTAAATATGTTGTTACTGACAACAAAATGGAGGTCAAGTTCAATAATGATGATTTTGACTTTTACCGTTCAGGAGTTACGGTTCTTGAAAGTTTAAAGTGTCATTTTCTATCTAGTTTATATGTTGTTATTGTTGACAACATGGAAGTCAAGTTTGATATTGATGATCATAAATTTTACCTATTAGGAGTTTTGGTCCTTGTGATATTGATTAATGCCAGAACACAAATAAATGTTAAAGAATCCGGTTTACTGTCATTTTGACAGCTCTTGTCTATTATTCTATTTAAAATACTACTACATTATACCAGAATATCACTGGTCTCCTGTCATAGCTAAGTTTAGAAACAGAAGTAAACAGATCCTGATATGAGTAAGCTGAACTGGGATAAAGAAGTCTGATCTAATAGGAAGATAGAAAATGAATATAATGAACTGCCTAGTTCATAATGAAACTCAGAATGACACAAATGGCCCGCTCACAAAAAAAGCTTAAAGCCATTTTTAGGAGTTGAACTTTTCAAAGTCCAAAGCCTGTAAACTCATCATAGTAGACTCACATACTAAAAATTAGCTCAATATGTGAAGGCTGTATAACAGTTATTTCCACGAAATTTTCAATGTCCAAAGCCCGTAATTTCGGCAAAAATCAGCGGATCAGAACAAAAGATAAACCAGATCTGTAACTCATCATAGTAGACTCACATACTAAAATTCAGCTGCTTATGTGAAGGTGCTTGTATAAAGTTTGTATAACTGTTCAATGCTGAATGATAGAATGACGAATAGTAAAACTATATGGCCTAAGTGGGCAGGGCTATAAAAATTCTGCATGCCCTTCTTCAAATCAATGTACATAAAAATGAGAATGGAAATGGGGAATGTGTCAAAGAGACAACAACCCGACCAAAGAGTAGAAAACAGACCAAAGCCAACAATGGGTCTTCAACACAGCGAGAAAATCCAGCACCCGGAGGCATGCCTCAGCAATAAAAGCAATACATGTATGGTAAATATTGAGGCTAGTTAAAGATTTTTTTTCCACATATTTTCCAACCTTTAAAATGAATGAACTGCTGAGAATTTTTAATTCAAATTGCAGCATTTTTTATTTGCATTGATCAATACGCACAATTCATTTCAGATAGTTTGAAAAAGTAGCATTTCACATATGTGGTACCATATTCAATAGCTTAAATTTTCTGCAATTAAGCAAACCCTGAAGATCCCATGGGTTCTTGGAGTGAAAAATTAAAATTTTTAGTCTTTGCAAATATTTATAAATTCCAGTTTTTTCCTCTTTATTATTTTATATTCTGAACACCAAAACAGCATGACTGGTCAAGTTCAGTCAATCTTTAAAACAGTAACATGTCCAATATCATGATGAAGATATTTTTTAATCATTGTTTTTCTCACATTAGGGATCAAATCCAAATATTGGAACTTAATTTAACAATATTTGATGATACTTACTTGCTTTGGTTGACATCCACTAATGATCCAATCTTTGATGTTGTAAATGATATATGTTCATCACCAATTACTATCTCTAGTTCCTATAAAATATACATCTAATGTTATAATATAAAGTGCTTTCAAGCATGTATGACTGAAATGTTAAAGTTACTAGATTTTAACTGTCAATTAACAAACTTTGTATAAAAAACATTAGTGTTAATTTGTGTTCAGATAGTTTTGGTTCCTGCCAAAAAATAAAATATGTGTGTTTCGAGGTTCCTGCCAAAAAAATATAGGGTTGTTTGGTAGGAAATATTTTTTTGGGACGAAATCCAGATAATTCACTGAGTCCAGTTCCAGTTTTAACATACGCAAACTGGAAACTCTTCCATTAGTAGTTTGCCAATGAACGGAGAGCTGTGATTATTACACATTTAGCATCAATTCTGTCCAATATTTTGATGAAATAAGTCAGTGAATGCAACAACTAATATCTTGATAAAACGGTTTTGAAGAAATCATCATTAAAAGTTAGGGTCAGTCGGGAAACCCTAAACAGATACATATTTTTTTTTGCCTTATGTTGAAGGTCGTAAGGTGACCTGCAGTTGTTAATACATTTGTATCTGAATCCTTTCTTCTTAGGTGCATTCATACCACATCTATTCTTATTTTTAATAATAATTTATACCAATTTCCAATCTTTTATGATAAAAATATATTTGTGAACCACCTGCTGCAAATGAAGCTATCAAAAGTCATTCTTGATTTTTTTTAATATTTATACATATCTTTAAACAAACATTGTTTTTTTTTTAAAGGAGCAAAAAATTGTGACTGATGACTGACCTGTCTTCCTACACGGTCTGGTGGTGGCCATAATACATCATCTTCCTGCATTAGTTCAGCATCTTCTATTATTCTCTTTAATTCTTCCATCACAGATTTGTGTACATAGGACTGAAATTATAAAGCATATCATTCCAGGGTTTGACAAGAAGTTTTTTGACATTGACAAATGTATTTTAGGAATTAAAATGTTAATGTATGATCTATTACGAAATTCAAAATGCTATAGCAGTGCTCTTTGCGTTTCTTTTATTACTATTATGTGAACATTTTATGTTGAGGACTAGGAAAACCAACTATCTTTCAAAAGAAAATATCATCACAGGTGCTCCAGACTTGACATTTCCTACTCCACTGGTAACACGTCATGTTGTATTTATCTTTAAATCAGATGATGGTATAATTCGCAATAAGGTTTGTGAATCAATCTACATTTATACCAGAATTCTTTAATAGTAATTTATTCATACGTCAGTAATCCACATTACAAATTATATCTTGCTATTATACTTAATAAATAAGCATTCTGAGGGTATAGCATATGTATTATAATGTCTTTGGATTTCAGGTGCACCTGTGTGAAAGTTTAGATAATTATACATCTTTAGATATTTCAGAGATTAACTTTCATGTCTTTTCTTACCTCTTTCCTGATCATTGTGTCATTCTTGTAGTTGGAATTATTGGCATACCTTAGTTTGCCTAAAACAATAAAATTATTCAATAATATATATTCATGTTTGTAAGTTCAATATGTGGCTGGTCATAATATAAACATACATGTACATGTATCATACACATTTCTGTGCATATGACATGTGTTTTCATCAATATCAGATTAACCTTCATTATGTACACTAAAGATCAAAAGTTTGGAAAGCCAATACAATGTACATAAATCCTTCAATAAATCAACACAAAAAAGGCTAAATAGAACAGTCAAAATTGTCTAATGCACTTTTCCTGACTGTCAGAGGGGCTGTATCTAAGTGCAATTTATTAACTGAAAATTTACAATAGAAATGCATCCTTTAAACCATGCAATACTGAAGGACTTGGTCCTAGAAGGATAGTGACCTCAGGAAGAAACAGTCTATACCAGCCCTGACCAGTGGTAAAAAAATCCTAAAATTCTGGCAAGTGACATTTCTGTCATTGATGATAGATCACTTTAATTATAATATCTCAGCCAAAACACTGTTTTAATGTTGTTTTGTGTAAAATGTACATGAGCATACACACATACATGTACAGTGTATTATAACATACAGCAAATCTAACCTGAAATTGAAACATCATTTGTAACTCGACCAACATACTGATTATCATCTGGTCAGTATGTTTATTGCGATTTGCTTTAGTACATTTTTGTACTATATGATAAATTCTTATTTTGACAAAAATCTTGCCATTGCTGCGTTGCAATGAAAATTAGTCTTTCTGCAAAATATGCAAAACCTTTACATACCACTGTTTTTGTGAAGTATCTGGTAGGAGCTAGTGATAATAGAAAAAATTTACTGTCAGAATGAATATTTTGTAGTGTCCACTGGGTTGAAGTATACATAAACATTTATATTTCGTTTATTAATTCATAGCTGATCTTGGACAAGAGAATGGTCAAGGTTTTGTACCTCATTAATTATCGTTATCATTGTTGACACCTATTTGATCAGTTCCATTTAGAATTAATGGAATCAATTAGCCATCTTGAATTCAATTTTACATCAGAATGAAATAAATATAGTGTGAACAGTAATTAAGAGTTTTGGGTTTTAGTCATGTTTCTTTATACAATACATATGCGGGAGTTTCTCGCTGCATTGAAGACCCATTGGTGGCCTTCGGCTGTTGTCAGCTCTATGGTCGGGTTGTTGTCTCTTTGACACATTCCCCATTTCCATTCTCAATTTTATCATGTACATTGTATCATCGTATTAAAAATTAGTTCAGAAGATCTCAAACCTTTACAATTTCACAACAGGTATCCCAATACAGAACAAGAATGGATCCAAATCATGAGGAGCAATTAATGACAAATTTGTAACCGTTGGAAGGTAAAATCTTGGTATGATACCCACAGGGCATAATATTATCCAGAACTTCAGGTCTCACCATCTGTCAAATTTTACAGAGTCCGGTGCAAGTTTTATTTTGTACTCTCAAAAAGTGACAGATCTTGGAAAATCTGGAAAACCATTTGATAAAATCATTAGGTCATTGATATCTCATATGGACAATGGAATAGTAAATTATTTTATCGTTACCTTTGGATATTTCTGGAAATATTTTGCACCAACAAGCACACAAAAGGTAAGAATTTGTATATGTATGCAAATTCAGACTTATTTGGAAAGGATATAGTTACGATACTGTTGTCAAGTCATTAAGGATTGCATATTTTGGTATTAATATTCATTCACTCATAGGGTCTTTGCATCGGAAATAAACACATATATTCTAAAACCAGTTATTGGCATGATACGGGTTATTTTCTTCTCATATATTTTATGATGGTACAAATGTATGATACTAAACCCCTTACAGGAGGGATTGTACTTGATTTTCATATGATGAAGACATAATCTTTCAATCAGTTTAATTGAGGTCTGGAGCTGGCATGTCAGTAACTGCTAGTAGTCCTTTGTTAATTTATGTTTCTTTTGTTACCTATTCTGATATCGGACTCGGACTTCTTTTGAACTGAGTTTTACTGTGCGTATTACTTTGTGTTTCTTTACAAAACATGTTTAACCCAGCTGCATTTTTGCGCCTGTCTCAAGTCAGGAGCCTCTGGCCTTTGTTAGTCTTGTATGTTTTTTTAATTTTAGTTCATTTATATGTTTTGTAGTTTAGTGTGACGTCCATTTTAACTGAACTAGTACACAATTTTATTTAGGGGCCAGCTGAGGACCACCTCTGGGTGCGGGATTTTCTCGCTGCGTTGAAGACCCATTGGTGGCCTTCGGCTGTTGTCTGCTCTTTGACATATTCCCCATTTCCATTCTCAATTTTAAATATTTCTAGCCGTCAGTGAAGATCTTATTTCCAAATTTGGTCTCTAAGTTGAGAGGAAAATTCTCTCTCAAAAGTCCAACCTAATAAAAAGGCTTCAGCATTAAAGCATCGTTGTATAGATCCTTATTACATAGTAGTGATGAATCAAGAAAGGCTGAGAGAAATAAAAATCCATCAAAAAAGCCTTTTTTCTAAAGTCTAGAGGTCAGTATGACAAGTTGCATTTGGCTGACTTGTTTAGGAATTCTAATTCAGGCCTTCCATCATGGTGACAAAGGGAAATAACTCTTGCTCAATTTGTGTCAAACAAACCCATCTATTTCAAATAGTTATTTATACAAACGTCTTCCTCTTTCGCAGGTTACACTTGCCTCATATTCAGCTCTATTTTTAACGGAAAGACTTAGGGCAAATCTTTTTCAAAATGTTCTATTTATACCTTATTTCATTTTCTATAACCCACGCTTACTCAGTTACTGTTTTAGCTTTACATCGCCCAAGTATAGTATAGGGTATTTATTTCCAGATCCCATAAATAATACGACAAGCTAAAATCAGAATTTGATTCTTCTATGGTCAACATATAACTTTACCATCAGGCCGAAACTCAAATTCTAAGAACTCATGCCCAAATTTTCCTTTATGTCCAACATAATACCGCAAATAAAAATCCGTGGATGTCGCCATTTTTCAATGTAAAACTAATTAAAAATTGATAACGGACAAATTCGGAACAGAGTTACGGATATAATCTTGTGAGGAAAATATTCCATCTTTAAGTAATTTTTGATTCCAAATTGTATTTCTTGGTATATTAAAACATTTTTCTATTCTGATGAACAACAAAATAATAATTGCATATTCATTTATAATCAATCAAGTCGAATATTGATAGTCATTCCGGAAGAGTTTATTAACTTAGACTCTGTAAATATCTGGTTGCCTAAGTGGAAGTTTGAACCATTTGCTGAAGGATTTTACCCAAAAAATGAGAAATGATATCCCATCTACATTAACGCGTACAATTGTGTGTAAACAGGGTGCTGTGCGTGCAGTTAGATTTAATGGTAACGAGATCCCTTTGAAATACATAACACATTGATAATCATCATAGAATGTACATGTATGCTCTGTCTAAGCCTCCTTTCTGAGGAGCACCACCATATTTTGTGTAAAGGAGGCTAGAGGACATTTTGAGTCTTTTAACCAGAAAGTTAACCTCCCCAAATCATGGATAACTACACTGCATTAAAATATATGAACACTCACATTCAAATGATACGCTAATCCTGAAAAGTAATATTAGGCAGGAGCCATATGTATGTATGTATGCATGAAAATCCCTCTTTGAGCTGCCTAAGCACCTCTTGATAGCCATGATAGCTGCAAGGGTACAGTGGAATCCATGTACACTCCCTATCAGAATTAATGGAGATGTGTCCATTACTGATATACAACCCACCACCAGGACTATCCCAAACAAAACACAGAAGGCGTGTTAGGACACCGGAAAGTCTGTTATTTATAATGGTGGGGGAAGCTGAAATACTCTAAGAGAATCACCGGGCTCTTTGGCAGGAATCTGAGTCCATTCGCCCAAAATCACGTTCGCTCCCATTCACGTTCCCCCCATTTCACGTTTGCACCCCACACGTTCACACCCTTTTTATTGATTTTGTGTGGAATAAATATTTAATCGTGTTTAAGTTAGTGTATTGCTATAAATGAGTTTTTTTTCTTATTGTTTACATTATAAAAACATAAAAAGGTTTCCTTTAGTGTTTTATAAATTATTTTGACGAAATGAATCATGAATAAAAAATTGTCATGATGATCTGGGATTATTATACAATATAGTATGTCCCCGTGATGATCAAGGCAAAGTTCATTCATCTAAGACTTGTAAAAGAAAGGCGGAAGATACAAATTCTTCATTTTGTTTACTCATACCAAGCTAATTACATGCAGTATTTACATCAAAGCTAGTTATAACAACAATCATGATTTTCATACACAGAACAATACCAAATGTGACTTTGTAAATACCAATTAACAGTAATCATACATAATTAACCTGGGAATATTATACTAACATCAATATATTATGATTCCAATTCTTTATTATGATTATTGATTTATTATTTATTAAACAGGACATTGAATTAATCTTTAAATTATTTTATTTTTATCTATTTTTCATTATGAATTACTTATTTTCGAATTTAGCTTAAACCTTTTTCATGATTTTGTTTGAAAATATGTGATAAAAGAAATACGTTTAGGATTTTGAGAGTGACTTATAGACCCAATGGGTCGGGTGTACTTTATTGTTTTTGTAGCATATTTGTATTTTGTATAACTGTCATTACACATGTATGTCACTTTAATAAAAAAAATACTTACTTACTATTATTTCCCAGAATTAACATTTAATAATTAATCATCAAATCACCAAATAAAATATTTCATTTAAAAATTCCCAAATTTTTATTCATGAAAATTTAAATATTTTGATAAATACATCTAAAAAAACATCTCACAGTTCAACAAGTATTCAAATAAAAATAGGTTGCGAACGAACCCAGGGGCGAACGTGTATTTGGTGCGAATGGACAAACCAGAAAGATATCTACAAATTGATCTCCATTTAATATTAGAGGCCACATTGACCAATTGAGCCCCCCCCCAGCCATAGTACCCATTCTAGTTTAAACTCTGGTCTGGGTACCAGTGATGTGTGTGGGATGGTGAAAATCACCCTATTAATGTACTTGAAATTTTAAGCGCCCCAAGAACATTTAGCACTATTGCCATCAGTTAAAACCACCAAAATAAAATAAGGAGATGTGGTATGATTGCCAATGAGACAACTATCAACCAAAGTTCAAATGAAGTGGATGTAAGCAATTATAGGCAACCGTACAGGCCTTCAACAATGAGAAAAACTCATATAGTATAGTTGGCTATAAAAGGCTCAGACATGAAAAATATGAAACAATTCAATTAAGAAAACTAACCACCTAATTTATAACAAAACAATTTCCGAAAAACAAATATGACTGACATGAACAAATGACAACCGCTGACTACAGGCTTCTGACTTGGGACAGGCATATTCAGATTGTGCCAGGGTTAAACTAGTTTGTTGGTGCCAAACCTCCCCCTTACCTGGGACAGTGGTGTAACAGTTCAACAAAAGAACAAACTATAAAAATCAGTTGAAAAGGGCTTAACTCATCAGATGGATATAAAGCAGAAAACATCTAATGAAAACACAGACTGGACATGACAGGGTATCCCACAACAAAAAAGACGCTAAGAAAAGATCTGTTATATATAGGTTTGTTCTTTATTTTAATAATACTTATCAGTGATTCAGTAGAGTTTCTTGTCCTGCTTATAGGAGATGGTAACTACTGTATAACCTGTGGCAGTGACAAATCTGTCAAATTATGGAATCCAAATAGGGAAGTTTTATTGAAGACGTATAGTGGACATGGGTACGAGGTTCTGGATGCTCAGGCATCTTGTGATAACAGTCAAATATGCTCCTGTGGAATGGATAAATCTGTTGTAGTATTTGATGTTGCCACTGGTAATGCTGTGAGGAAATATAGAGGGCATGCAGGTAAGGTTAATAGTAATAACAGTTCTGTGGAATGGATAAATATGTTGTAGTATTTGATGTTGCCACTGGTAATGCTGTGAGGAAATATAGAGGGCATGCAGGTAAGGTTAATAGTAATAACAGTTCTGTGGAATGGATAAATATGTTGTAGTATTTGATGTTGCCACTGGTAATGCTGTGAGGAAATATAGAGGGCATGCAGGTAAGGTTAAAAGTAATAACAGTTCTGTGGAGTGGATAAATCTGTTGTAGTATTTGAAGTTGCCACTGGTAATGCTGTGAGGAAATATAGAGGACATGCAGGTAAGGTTTAATAGTAATAACAGTTCTGTGGAATGGATAAATCTGTTGTAGTATTTGATGTTGCCACTGGTAATGCTGTGAGGAAATATAGAGGGCATGCAGGTAAGGTTAATAGTAATAACAGTTCTGTGGAATGGATAAATCTGTTGTAGTATTTGATGTTGCCACTGGTAATGCTATGAGGAAATATAGAGGGCATGCAGGTAAGGTTAATAGTAATAACAGTTCTGTGGAATGGATAAATCTGTTGTAGTATTTGATGTTGCCACTGGTAATGCTGTGAGGAAATATAGAGGGCATGCAGGTAAGGTTTAATAGTAATAACAGTTCTGTGGAATGGATAAATCTGTTGTAGTATTTGATGTTGCCACTGGTAATGCTGTGAGGAAATATAGAGGGCATGCAGGTAAGGTTAATAGTAATAACAGTTCTGTGGAATGGATAAATATGTTGTACATGATATAACGTCAGGAAATTTGTGAGGATATACTGTCGACATGCAGCATATGAACAGGGTTTTTATATTAACTTGTTTCTGTTTGTTACTCATTCTTTCAAATTAATGAAGATTTACCAATAATAATACTTTTTCATTTAGAATCAATGTATTTTATTATTTTCCCCGTCAACCAAGAAACCAGCAGAAGTTGCTTGTCTGTCTGACAGATTTTTTATTCCAGACATGCAAGCAAATGTTGTTGTTAAGGCATTAGGAGAAGGTGTTACAAATAAACAAATCTCAATTGTAATAGCTGTACTTAACAATAGATACATGTGTATTGTTTCTTTTAGGAACAGTGAATTGTGTAAAGTTTAATGAAGAATCAACAATTGTGTTGTCTGGTTCTGTCGATGGAACTATCAGGATATGGGATTGTAGAACTCGTAAAATGGAACCCATTCAGGTAAAGTGTTAATGGAAATTTTGTGACATGGGATGACAGACTTTGAAAATACATACAGGTAACATGTTGATGAAACTGAAAGATAATTTTATTGTAGAAGTTGTAAAATGGAACCCATAGAGGTAAAGTATTGTCTGGTTCTGTAAATATAGATTGTGCTGTAGAGGTCATTATATTTAGCTCATACAACTTAAATATTTTAGGATTCTGTTGATGCAACTGTCAGGTTATTGGGTTGCAGGAGTTGTAAAATAGAACTTGTAAAAGTAAATTGATGTCTGGTTCTCTTAGTGGAACTGTTTGGACAGACCTCAAAACTAAAGATAAAGGTTTTATCTGGTATCTGGTTGTGTTGTTTGGAATATTGAGATATGGGAATGTAGATGAAATTAAATGGAACCATACAAGTTATGTAATATCTGATTCTCATTGTTGGAGTGTCCGGATGTTGGGTTGAAGACTGGCATCTTGTGATAACAGTCAGATATGCTCCTGTTAATTAATTTGAAAGAATCAGTAACAAACAGAAACAAGGATGTAGTCTTTATATGTTTTCTAATATCACCCTTGATGTTCCTTTCTTTGATACCTGTATTACTTTTTTGTTTTAACTTGTATATTTATATATTCAGATTCTTGATGAGGCTACAGACAGTGTGACATCTTTACAAGTATCAGATTATGAAATCTTATCAGGGTCAGCTGATGGTTGTATCAGGAGATATGATTTACGTAATGGTAAAATGTTCGTAGATTTTATTGGAAGTAAGTATTTTAAAAATATGCTTTACTATAAGACTCATTGAATAATAATTGCTTGAATATATATTTAGCAAGGTGTCAATATAAAAGTTGTTTAACAGACAACATTATAGTGATAATTCACTTTTCTTGACAATGCATGATCTTGATAAATAAATTAAATAAATAAGTTTTATTGGGGATATGTTGTAAGTTGTGTCTACTAAATCTATCACTATAAGTACATGTACATAATAATTTCACACCATTGTCTCTCCTGCGACAAAGGTAAGACATAGTAATCCTACATTCTGTTGTGTTCATGTCATAAACATTTATGAAAAAAGATAGAAATTGAAGTAAAATTTTGAAAATGCAAATTTTTTAATTGTTATATATTTAACTTATAGATGGACTTAATTTTTTTTCCGCTTATATAAAAATAAGATGTGGCATGATTGCCAATGAGACAACTATCTATCAGAGACAAAATGACCTAGATTTTAGCAACTATAGTCACTGTACGACCTTCAACTATGAGCTAAACCCATATGTCATACCAAGCTGTAAAAGGCCCCAACACAACAAATGTAAAAGAATTCTCACAAAGCTAATTGATACAAGATTTTTTCACTAACATATAACTCATAGTCAAATCAGACTGTGAATAAGTGCATAAATGTGTTTGTTACTTCATTAATAGTTGATTTTTTTTCTCAATTCATTTTTCAGAATCAGTGTCTTCCACATCTTTTACCAGAGATGGTCAGTGTGTGTTGACAAGTACTATGGATGATTCCATTAAACTGATGGATAAAGATACAGGAGAAATGTTAAATGAGTAGGTATAGTTCATCAAACTTTCCTCATGTGTTAGTATGCAGTGGTCAGAAGCTCTCCAAGAATATATCCGATTTAACACTATATAGGCCTCTACATTTCCAGAAGCTCTTATTATATGTGTGTGGTCGATACTATGTATGATAAATAAGGGATTACAGGAATAAGCAAAATGTTGGATAGTACAACAGACAACACCAACCACCAACCCCTCCAGAAAAATAGATGTACACTCAAAGACAACTGACATGAACAAAATATGTTCACCATAGTTAGACTTGGTACAAGTCAAAAAATATAGTGGGGATGAACCAGCTCTACATGTACACAATCCTCCCCGTTTCCTTACATGTATCTTGACCATATATCACTAAAGTAAAACACTAAATAAAAAATCTGCAGTCCAGCTAGCAATAAAATGAAAAATAACCTGAACTAGGAAATTAAAGATAGCATACCATAGAAACAAGTATGTTCTTGGTACTACAAGAAATTATGTAAGATAGCCACAGCTGTTTGTTTGTTGAATGAATCTACAAAACTGTTTTACACACAAACCAGTTCACTGATTTCTGCTCAGGAAGCTTGACAGAAGTGTTTTAAGTGGTTTCATGGACTATTTACACAACTGTTAAATAAAAAATATCAGAAAGGGTTTTAGCTCAGTGCAGTAATGTGATGGTTACAGTAGTGTCAGATAATCTGAAATGAAGAAACAATTGAAATGACAGTTATGTATGCTTAAATTGGAACTCAATCTAATTATAGAATGGCTTAGTTTTCTCTTTTTTTTGGTTGTTTTAAATTTTATTTTTTACATACCAGTACTTGTTTTATTTTATTTTAGATTCAAAGGTCACCAAAATCATGACTATAAAATAGACAACAGTTTGAATTGTCAGGATACATGTGTTGTATCTGGTTCAGAGGATGGACATGTTTATTTCTGGGATTTAGTAGAGGTAACTATTATATATGTGTTGTAAGGTTCAGAGGATAGACATGTTTATTTCTGGGATTTAGTAGAGGTGATTATTATATATGTGTTGTATTGGGTTCAGAGGATGGACATGTTTATTTCTGGGATTTAGGAGAGGTGATTATTATATATGTGTTGTATCGGGTTCAGAGGATGGACATGTTTATTTCTGGGATTTAGTAGAGGTGATTATTATATATGTGTTGTATTGGGTTCAGAGGATGGACAGGTTAATTATAGGATTCTTAGCTTATTTATTTTCCCCTTCTTAAGAAGAAATTGAAAACACTTAGGATACCAAAAAAAAAAAGAACTTTTTTTTTTGTCTCGACTGCGACAAAAGTCGCAGTTTGCGAGACATAGGTATTACTATCCGGCGGCGTAAACTATTTGTATAAAGCTTTATATTTCAAAAGGAAGAAGACCTGGATGCTTCATACCTTGTATGCAGATACCTTATGTTTCAAAGTTTCCGTCTGTCATATGCACATTGTCCTTGACCTCATTTTCATGGTTCGATGACTGCTTGAAAAAATTACAGTTTTTTTGTCAAGTGAATTTCTCACTGATTAGGAGTAAAAGGATAACTATATTTGGTATATGGGTTCCTTTCAACGTCTACATGTCCGTCAGACAGGGTTAACCTGACCTCGACCTTAATTCATGGATCAGTGATCAAGGTTAAAGTTACGTGATAAGGTCTGTTTCTCAGATACTACAAGCAGCAGGTCAACTATATGTGGTGTATGGAATGATTGTAAGGGGTAAATGTCAGACTGGCAGGTTTCATCTGACCTTGACCTCATTTTAATGATTCATTGGTCAATGTTAAGTTTTTGTGTTTTGGTCTGTTTTTCAAATACTAATAGCAATAGGTCAACTATAATTGGTGTATTGAATGATTGTAAGGTTTACATGTCAGTCTAGTTGGTGTCATCTGACCTTGACCTCATTTTCATGGTTATTGGTCAATGTTAAGTTTTTGTGTTTTGGTCTGTTTTTCAAATACTAATAGCAATAGGTCGACTATAATTGATGTATGGAATGATTGTAAGGTGTACATGTCTGTCTAGCCAGTATCATCTGACCTTGACCTCATTTCCATGGTTCATTGGTTAACATTAAGTTTTTGTGTTTTGGTCTGTTTTTCAATTACCATAAGCAATGGGTCAGCTATATTTGGTGTATGGAATAATTGTAAGATATACATGTCTGTGTGACAGATTTTATCTGACCTTGACCTCATTGTCATGGATCTTTAAAAATGTTAAGTTTATGTGATACTTGTAGTAAAACCCTTATCTTTAAAGGGAAAGTCCGCGATTTTTTACTTATCATCTAAATATGTTCATCTTAACATAAAAAACACATTTACAAAGTTTTAAATTTATATTCCTTCTAATAACGGAGAAAATCAAGTATTTGTAACTTTTTTGGTTGACCTACGTCACTGGGTTGTGACGTTTTAACCCGATTTGTTGAATCATGGGAAAAAATAAAATCTGTTAAAGTCTTAATTGCTTATCAGAATTTTACGTAATTAAAAGCGCACAGATGACCGTTGGTCGTAGTTAATAACCACAATATAAGAATGAAAGAAAATGAATATGTGTGTACCGTTTTGTATTGATTGAATAAAACTTCCTATATGAAATTATCTAAATATAAATATTTTCGGATTAATTTCATAAATTGTTGAGATTTTTTCATAAAATACCTATAGAACATTTTTACTGATATTGAACTGAAAGTATTTTAAGTTTTATTTACCGTTATAACTTTGATAACCATTTCAATGCAAGATATTTGTGAACAGAGTGTGTATATTATTTTGTAAAGTCATTGTTTATTTCTCGATTTGAGGAGAATTCGTTTGAACTTTACCTTGCAGCAATTTAGCCTCAGGCGTACACAGGTCATGGTGAATTCAAGCGTACACGGGTGTGAATATTGTCATGTTGAATGGATTAACAGAAAGAGTATAGCGTGTTTAATATACGATGAAACATTACCCGATGACAATAGAGAAACAATAATTAAATTGTATAAATTAATTGAAAATTAACATTCAACTTTTTAATTCCGGAAGTGTTACAATATTAAAATGGATCAATTTTCGGTTACGTTCTATGCAATTAGCATAAAGTTAAGATATGAAGTTAAAAGAATAGTACTCTTAATCTTAAAAATTAAATGTTACATTTCCCAATTAATAATCATTCCACATCTGTTTAATTTACTTTACCGGAATTCTTTAACTTGTATTTAAATCTGGCGTAGTTTAAATGCTAGCAATCGTAAAACTATCGCAATTTTAAAGTTTTTAATTGAAAAAATACAACAGTACAACATGCATGATTTTTTTAATTTTCTTATTAACATTTCATTCTTACATAATAAAATTCATTTGACGATCACTTAGACAAATTATTTGTGAAAAGAATACCAATTATCGTTTATTTCATTAATGAATATACATACATTATAAATCTAAGCTAATAAATTAATTTGTTTGAGGATTTTTTTTTTTTTGGATAGCCGTCATTAATCCAAATTAGTAATACAGTTGTTGTAATTAAAGGCATATCTTAATAATGTATTACTGATATTGACGATTTTAGAACAGTTCGTCCCAACCTCGTTGTTCTTGAAACAATCTTTACTAGTATACTTGTAAGTTTCCTGACGTATAAGCGCCATTGAGGATGAGCTCCAGAGATAGCAGACTAGTAGCGTATTTGTTTGTTGGGGCAGGAGAGGCCATGCAACCGCTTGTACAGATAAACAAGCTTATGTTGTCAACACTATCAAAAAGAGTTCCCATCGTTGGATGGGGTATATGAAGGTTCCAAGAATGAACTATTGACATGTCTGACTCTGAACAGTTAGTAAACGAACTTAACAATGATCTATAATAGACATCGACCGCTTGTTCTTTCATATTTGAAACTGCATGCATATATACGTTTATGAGAGTGATTATTTATCTTGTGTCTGACGAAAACTAAATGCCTGCATGGTTATATCTTGCCATACGTTTGTATTGGTTTGGTGGGTGTTCACTCAAAATCGTAATTCAAAAATTGTGTTTGTGAGATGTAGATTCACTTCAATACCGAATTTCGTCTATATATTTCACAAGTGTATACCACGGAGAAGATCTGAAGGTATATTACTCCCATTTTGTTTGGGTGTGAACCATTGATGTTTACAGCAATATTTAATGAATAAGATGATGATGGTAGAAAGAACTATGAGCGTCATGTGGCAAATATTACATGCATGTCGGACCATGAGTTGTCAATCTGTATGAAAAGATTTCCAATACAACCATATTGAGTAGGAATTTTTACATGCTATACGCTCGTACTAGTCAGATTACAGGGTTCTTGTGTCGTTTAACTCAGACACACATCTTTTACTTTAAGATGTATGAAAGGTTCTAAATATATATATATATCTTAAATGTAACAATAATCAAACGCCTATAGGCAATCACTAAAATGGTATGAAGTTTTTATACAGATTTATTCTTATTTACACAATCATTAACAAACTAAATAAATTTAACAAAGTAACACCGTGACACTACGATATAACAAATGGGATACTAATTATTTTAACCATGCTATGCAGAAACTTAACACATCAGGCAGGAACATATATATTAATATACTGTTCCCAGCATCAAGTTAGTGCACGTGAATACCAATAAGGAACACGATGTGTGATTTTGTATAACTAAAAACATCAAAGCGAGCAATAACTTTGTCAAGCAAACATTTTTTTTTTCACTATGCCTCTCTTTATCTCCGCTCCTTTACAATAACTATTTCGCTTTTCGTCGATCATTCTCTATATTGTTCTCTATTCGGTTATTTTTTTTTCACTATGTCACTCTATCTCCGCTCCTTTTTCCCCTGTCGTCCTAATCCTTATAAAGATAGGGACATTAGACATAGAAGGGGCTCTCTTATCTTCAATGAATTAATATTGATAGTGACTATAAGTGCTGCATTACTTTATATATCTGCATTGTTGCCAATCGACAAAAGCTTGTATTTGCGTGAAGATTTTTTTTTTTCAAAAATATGGTCCAGAATCATGACAAAACAATATTCATTTCACAAAAATGTTCAAAGTCATGTTTTTAATTTTTTTCAAACTTATTATCAGCAAAAATAGTGGATAATATTATTATCAGAACATCATTCATTAAAAGGTGGAATTATAATTTCAAACACACACAAGATAAACAACGTTAGACACAAATGTATGGTTCAATAAATGTTACCTGTGCACACCGGGTACCTCAATAAAGAGGCCATGCATGAACCAGTATTATATAATTGTGTAATACGAATTTTTAGTTGACAGGATGTCACTGGAATACCCAGGGACGTGTATCTAATATACGTCCTTGGAATACCTAACTGAATGTGTCGCTCTGACACGACATCTATCAATAATTCTGACATACCTATTATCAATTCGGGAGGAAGCCAAAATATATATATAATAGGATAACGTAAATAAAATTTAAAAAGACTATAATTTTTTCACCGAACATACCAGATAGAGTCACACATTTAACTGTAAAGCCAAGTGTCTTTATAAGTGACCGTTCCGAATTGATCTCGTATCAATTTGATATAATTTAAAGATTAGTTAAAAAAAAAACACTTTTAATAAAAAAAATTGAGATGTCCGATATTTCGATATTTACATATCTATAACCTGGGAATATTATACTATATCAACATATTATGTCCCAGCTAAAACCTCTTTCTAACATTGCTCCTTGTCAATAGCCGTTAAATGTCATAATTAAAAAAATGTTATTTTATATCGTATAACTTTATTAATTGAAAAATTATCTTGTCTAAATACGGAACTATTCTTTATACAAATAAATGCACTTTATATAAAAGAGGCATACAAATGAATCTTCTGTAAATCAGTGATTGTTACAAGAACACTGCATTTGTCTTTCTTATAATTGAAACTGTTCTTCCTCATCAAATCTATATTTTTTTATTCAACGAGATCTTATCATATAAGGATTTGATAACTATAGCTATCAGAACTGCTAGGTTATTTTGTTATTAAAAAAGGATAATTACCATCGAATCTCCCTCGAAACAATATTGTTCAAAATGGTCTTCACACACCAACTTGTGCTTGCTATAGATGCAACTATTTGCTGTTAGTTTAAGGTTGTACAAACATGTCTGATACAATTCTTTCTTTTTTTGTGGGATTGGGAAAACTATGTAAACTTTTGTCATAACCTTGTCTGACAGAACAACCGTACGCTTGACAAGACATTTTGACACTGATTAACCGTCTACGGTAATCCCCGATTGATGATGGGAGTTTTTAACGCACGGTCGGTAAATCCCCGATTCTTTTTGTTCTTTGTGGTTTATAGATATCACGTGACTTTTTAGATCGAAAATGCCGACAAGATGGCGATATGTCGAGAACTGATAGTGAATTTCAAAAATCGATTTTGATCACTTTACATAGAGAATAAAAGATTTTTATTCATGAACATGTGGTTTTTTATGCTTTAAGAACAAAATATAAATTTTTCATTTTTTTGCGGAGTTTCCCTTTAAGACTTCCAACAAAAAATCAATGGTCAGTAAAACAGGCAAGACATTTCAGCGTGTGCACTCTTGTTTGTACTTTGTTATAAAAATTACTTTCTTTTAATTATTGGATTGAGTCTAAAGGCTTGTGCTGAAATTTTCAAAAGAAACTTTTAATCAGAATTTTGGTAACCTATTTTAGGTAAAAGATCTTGTAACAACTTTATTGCCCAAAATTAATACTGTAAAGTTCAAAGAATGAAAAAAAAGATAAACTAAGCTCAGCCTTCAGGTCTTAATGTTAACTGTTAATTTTGATGTTAACAATTTGGAAATTCTGTATAAAATTTCAGTTTATATGAGAATAATTGAAAGTAATTGTTTTTCTTAGGCAAAAGTGATTTATAAGATGCTACATGAAGGTCAAAAAGTGGTACATTCCTTGACATTCCATCCTACAGAGACATGTCTGCTAACAGCAGCTGCTGATAAAATATATGTGTGGCGATCAAGTCCTGCCAGTGAAGATGGATGATTGGACACACTGCTGATGATAAAATATATTTGTGGCGATCAAAACAGGCCAGCAACTATTGATCATTGGACAATTGCTGATGACAAACATATTTTGTGATCTAGTCATCTTACTGACAATTCATAACTGGTCAAGTGATTTGTCAACCAATGTTGTATAATATTGAACAAAAAAGAGATTTTCAAAATTGGATGTCCAATGATTGTACAGAACAGTACCCAGTATGGGGAATAGCAGCTAATGGTTTAATGAGGAAGATAAAACAAAGTCATACAATTACATCAAAATAAAAAACTCAAGCTATGACCAAGTTATTTTCATTTATATGATTCAGAATTCAGATTAAAAAATCTATAGTATAGTATAGTACAGTATAGTTTTATTCAGGCAAATTCAAGCACATATACAAAAATTCACAAGACAAGACAATAACATATATATATATATATATATACTTTTAAAATAGTATCAAAATATATTTTAAAAACAGTGCTTAGAAAAAAGCCTGGGATATCTCATAAAAGCTTACATATTATAGCTTATTTCCAATGGGGTCCCTTGTTTATCAATCTATAACTTACATTTAGATGGATAATTTAATCAAAGATATTTTATGTATTGATAATTGTATCATGTAAAAATTACCTTAGGGCTGTTCAATAAAAACATGTTGGGAACTCATTTATGGGTGGGTGTTTTGTACAGTGAAAGTATAAGGGAAAATCTAAAATTGGCTCTGTAGATGGTTATTCCATTTTCAAAGTAACTTCCCTGTGTACTCTGTGTGTTTTAATTAGGAGTCTGATGAAATAGAATTTGCTCAATTTATCTTTAAAAAAATATACATTTCTAATTGGTATTTCATTTGAATATTTTAAATTAATAATACAGACACAAGTTTTGCCCTTGAATAATGTTGTGGTGCTGAAATTGTTTTTATTGTAGTCTGACTTTTAACATCTGTTTCCATGCGATTACTTGTCTTGTTGAGCCAATCTAACAATTATTCATACACAATAATCCTTGAGGCATCAATTTCTTAGAAAAAATCCAAATGAACAAAAACATAGTTTATACATGTACCAGATTTATCATTATTAGATTCTATTTTTCAAAGTTTTTATGGTTTCAAGCAATAACCCTTATATTTTCAACCTTTTGCATTTAAAGTCCTATTTTTCTTAATGAAAATCTTGCCTCTGTTTTTCCAGCTAGATTTGTGATACTAAGTTGTTTGGATTTCTGACCTATAAAAGTAAAACAAATTTGTATGTTATGAAGAAACTAACAAATATACACTCATTTACATGGTACACATGTGTAGAATTTTTATTAAGCAATATTTTCAACGTTATGTTTTTACTAAGGGCTTTTTCAATAAAATGGATGTGGTAAGGTAGAAAGGAAATTTTAGACTGGTCAGGGGTCATTTATAGTTGTATGTCCATTTCATGTATGCAAAATTACTTAAAGGAAGTATGCTGGTTAAAGGAAGATTTTTAAGTCCATTCATACCCTCCCACTTACATTTTAATTGTATCATCCTAAATCTACTTGCCACAGCATGAAAAATAATACATTGATTTTGTCTGCTATCAGTTGAGTTTACTTGACAGAACATATAAAGCTGTGTAACTTTTATTTTTAAATTTTATTCAGATTGATTTTCTGTGAGGAAAACATGAAATATATGAGAAATTTTAAAAACTGCATCAGTTTATGTATAGGAATCAAATGAAACTTTGAAGATAACACATGCATTTTTCATTCCAATTTTTTTGTGGATTAGATTTTGACTAAATGACTTGACAAGAAGTGTAGTTAACTTTTTAATTTTTTACTTGGTAATATTATGTTAGGAGTATACCTGCACAAAACAAAGATTTAACAGAACCACTATTTTTGGTAAAATATTTTGTTATTATTAACTTAACCTGGATGTTGACGATTTGTTCATTTGAATCCTTTGTTCCATTTCTGCAATAAGATGTATGGGAGATAACTCTGTCTGACACATGCATTGCATGAATAATCTCCCTTATAATGAATAAATGCATGTCAAAATGAGATGGAATAGTCAGTCCATGGACAGAAGGTTCAAAGGAAAGTAGTGTAAAGATTGAAATCTAAAAGTTGTTTTTTATTATTTTTAGCATAAATGAGATTGTTGGTTCTTTTAAATTGTTTCACATTTTTTAATGCCTGGATCTTTTATTTCTTACTATATTGTATGGGTTTTTCTCATTATAGAAGGCCTTACAGTGACCTGTAGTTGTTTATATCCGGGTCCTTTGGTCTCTGGTTGATATTGTTGTCTCATTGGTAATCAAAATACATTTCCTTTTCTTATTTTATTTTTTAAATATTTATACTAAATGTGAGTTATCCGCATTAATGATTTTTTTCTTTCAAAATGAGGTTAAAATATTTCCATTATTTGTCTGTTTTAGAATATGATTAAACAATAGCATTTACAAAAATAATAAATATTACTTCCAAATTTCCAGAGATTTTTTTTTCTGTTTAAGCTGGATAGTGAAGATTTATCTCCCATGTTTTTAGTGTGTAGTAGATTATATTTTTAAAATCGATAAAAAAGGAAATAATTGTATTCTCCATAAATGATTATATCTGATGAGGATAAAAATAAAAACACATTAAGAGAGCTTTGAATTTGAATATGTTTACTGCATCCAAGTGGTTGGTCTCACTAAAACTTCAAAACTTTGCCTCTGAAAAAATTTGAAACACAGCTTCTGTAACTTGTTAGATCCAAAGTAATGGTTGGGCAACTGAATGATGATGACGACAAAGATGGATGGCTTTTTAACCTCCAGTGGCAAATTAATTGCATATTAAGGACAAGAACATGATGATATGATATGATTTAATAATCCCTGCTTTGCACTACACCAATATGCTTAGCCAGATTCTTTCATGTGCTAATTCACAAAGTAATAGTCCACAGGAAGATATGTCATCCTACCCAGACACATTATTCAGATGTGAGCTGAATTTATCTTTACCATTACTCCTATATGCCATGTGCTTAGGGGAGCAGCATCTAATACCAATTTTCAAGTCTAGTTTGACCTGGCTGGGGTTGGAGCATGGTACCACGAGACCACTGAGGTGGTTAACTAGATTGAAAATTTAATCTGTTGCTTTGAATATACAACTGAGGACGAAATAGCAGCTTAAAATACACACAAGGAGTACTGAAACTGGTCTTTGAAAATAGTCATTTATGTTAAACTTTCAAAGACCAAAGGCTGTTATTGGGCCAAAAGTCATTTTACTCAAATGAAACTGCCAGGTTATTCCAACAGTGCAAATATTTACTATAGATCAGAAGAGTATCCAGGAATAGTCATAGCAACCAACCATTTTGTTTGTTTTAACCCCATGTTCTATTTACAGTAATGGCACACCTGTAAGTTGGCTATGACAGACAAAACAAGAGTGCACATGATGAAATGTGAAAAGTCTTTAAGATTTAGGGAGCTACCATTTGATTTTTATGGGGGAGGCTAGGATGAAATTTGAAAAAAAATAGGCAGGACAGGAGTTTTGAGTAAAAAAAAGGCAGGATGAGACACTTTGCCAAAAAAAAAGGCAGGATGACAATTTATGTAAAAAAAAGTCAGGATAAACTAAAAAAAAAGGCAGGACCGAATAGAGTGAAAAAAAAGGCAGGACAGAGATTACAAATAAAAAAAAATGCAGGACAAAATTTTTCATCCTAGCCCCCCCATAAATATCAAATGGTAGCTCCCTTAAGTTTTACTACAGGTATCATATAGATAATGTTATCAATGATCCATAAGAATGAGCTGATCATTTTGATGTTTACAGTTTCTACCTATCTATTACAATTTTCAGATACTAGTAATAGGCAAAAACACAAAATTAGCCATAAGGATTCGTCTAATGGTTTTAGTTGTATTGGCATTTTTGTAGATCTTGCAATGTGGTCATTTTTGCTGCTTACAGTTTTTACTTATCTATTACAGTTTTTGCAATAATAAACAAAAACAGTTGGTGAGCCACCCAGTTTCTACCTACTAGTATCAATTATAGTTTTAAGGTAATTAGCAAAATACAAAATGAGCCAAACATCAAATTCATTGGTAAGGGTGAATTCCTTAATGGACTTAGCGTCATCTGATAACTTTGGAAAATATGGAAATACGTAGATTCTGACATTCTGAGTATGTCTGCCCCTCAGTGTCAGATTTCCCCTATCTACTATGGTTTTCACTATGTAAAGCAAATAATTCATTTTTCCCTTATGTTTTAATTTTAGCCATGGTGGCCATGTATGTTGACTGACCGAAGGAAAAATAACAAACTTGTAATCCTAAGGATCATTAACCTACAAGGTTTAGTAGTTTAAGAACACAGGATCTTTGCTAAAATTGACAACAAACACAAAAATAGTCAAAAATTCGTCATTTAAGGGGCAATAACTCTTTAAGGATTCACTGAACAGTTTTGGATTGTTGCTACTTTTAGCCATAATGGCTATGTTTGCTGACCGAACGAAAACAAAAACACAAACTTTATAATTCATTAAAGAAATTGGTTCAGTAGTTGCAGGAGAACATCTTTGAAAAGTATATGACAGACACAAAAAAATAGTCCAAAATTGTTGTTTATGGCTTTATTCCTTAATTTAAGGATTTCGATTGTATTGGCAACTTTGTAGATTTTGTTTTACAGATAATTTTTTCTGTTTACAGTTTCTACCTATCTGTTATAGTTTTCGAGATAATTGGCAAAAGCACCTAACTTGGTAAAAAAATCGTTATTTACGAGCAGTTACTCCTTACAAGGAGTCATTCAATGGTTTTGGTCAAATTTGGATTTTATATTAATGCAGATCATTTTGCCATTTTAACAGATTCTATCTATCTACCCTGGGACTATTATACTAATATATTATGTCCCATATCTCCTTTGGTTTTTTAAGATAATGAATAGACCAAAACATGAAAATAAGTCTCAAATAATCATTAAACTCATTAAAGAGCAATAACTCAAGAAGGAGTCCTCTGGTCATTTTGGTGAAGGAAGAAGGTAATTTTTGACAGTCTGTGCATTTAGCCATGTCAGATGTTCCCCGGTTTTCAAGATGTAAGAAAATTAATGCATGTTACCCTTATATTCTATTTTTAGTCATGGTGGTCATGTGTGTTGGCTGAACGGGGAAAAACTGTATATGCTAAATTTCTATGGATCATTCACCACAAAGTTTGATTGATATTGGTTTACATCTAGTAGTTTCTGAGGAGAAGATCTTTGAAAAAGAATACGACGGACGACAAACGCCAAGTGATGGCAAAAGCTCACGTGCCATTTTAG